GGTACAAAAGCTTATAAATCATACAGAATGAAGTTTTTTGAAAATCTAAAAATGCACAAAGGTTCCTGTGAGGGGTAGGGTTGGTGTAGGGCAATAGAAAATATAGTTTGTACAGTATAAAAACCATTACGCCTATGGAGAGTCCCCACAAGGATAGCTGACCAGACATGTGTGTAAACATAAATAAATAAACATAATCTACTGTATATTTGATGTTCAGTTTCAAAATATTCTGTTACCAGCAATATGTATAACAGTTAAACCATCTTTTTTTTTATCCCATACAGATTACGACCAATCTGCAGATTGCAGAGAATACAAGGACACATGGTAAGTTTGAGCTTTAAGCAGGGATAAGTATTCGTATAATTTTTTTTAAGTTAGTCAAGAATATGGACACATTTAATCAAATGTATGATCCTTTTCATTGAATTTTTTATGACCCTAAAAACCTTTTGGCCTGGTGTCTCTTATATAATGCTTGAAATAATTTGTCCTTTTTTCACCTGATATCTTGTGCTTAAATGCTTGAAATTATTAAAACTACATTTTATTTAAAAAAAATTAAATAAAAGAATATGTGTAAACCTTGACTTGTGGTGTACTGTACACGTTTTAGCGTAACAACATTGTATTAATTCTACATGTTTCTTCCATTGAATATTGTTTTATTACTGTGTCTCATCTCAGATGTCGAGTAAAGCTGGGTCTGAAGTTCTGTTTGAGAAAGTTGGGAACGCTGGAGTCATCACACTAAACAGACCCAAAGCTCTCAATGCTCTGAATCTCACCATGATCAGACACATCTACCCTCAGCTCAAGGTTAGGGAAACTGGAAACCTGGAAACCAACTTCATATGAACATTTCTGACTGTTAACCTGTTTTAATCATTGTGTTTTGTAGAAATGGGACAAAGACTCAGAAACCGATCTAGTGATCATTAAAGGAGCAGGGGAGAAGGCATTCTGTGCTGGTGGGGATATCAGAGGTATTTATGTGTAAGATAATCATACAGTTTTTCATTCACTCTTAAATGGATCTATGCATTGATAATGCAGTCAAACAGATCTGGCATTCACACTGAAATGCAAAAAAATATTTTCCCAGCTGTCACAGAAGCTGGAAAAGCAGGCGATTCTCTCGCTCAAGACTTCTTCCGTGAGGAATATATTCTTAACAACACTATTGGTATGTTTTCTCACTTCTGTTGCCATTTTTGAGGATTGATGAACAGATTTATTTATTTATTTTAGTAATAATTTTTTTTATTTGAACTCTTTTTAGGTACATATCAGAAACCATATGTGGCTCTAATTGATGGAATTACAATGGGAGGAGTAAGTATTGATCTAAAATGGTAATTTTGCTGCACAAGTTCACCAGCAGATGGTGCTTAGCAGAATATGGCATTAAAGGAACCAAAGGGCCAGAGGCAATGTGGGCCAGCTTGTCTTGTGTGTTTACAAAATATAAAAATAAATGAAGGACAAAGTGTCCTGCTTTATATAAAACAAAACATACAACCGTACCATTCTTTTCATTGTGTCACTATGAATTTGTCCAAAAACAGTAGGACTCTCATTGCCACTGGCTTCATGCATAATGAACAGTCTAGGGTTTTTCATTTGTAAACATATGCATGAAAATATTAATACATATTGACTCATGAGTTATTATTATACTGTATGTATTTTTAGTGCAATTCCCAATATGAGCTGCAAGCAAGTTGTGAGGCATTATGAGTCATAAACCCCTCTTTTAATCCTCTTAATTTCTGTCCTGCACTGCGTATTTTATCCAGTAGGTGTCAGCAGTAAGCTGATCTTGCACACAATCTTTGGGTTTCTTACGAATCAGTTCTCAAGTGCCCTCCCATTGGTAGGCTATTTGTGTTTGAGTAACACTTTATATTTATATTCATGTTGCACATTACATGTAGGCCTAAAAGTCATTCATTTAATAATTAATTACAGTTGCAGTTAGAGATGCATCACAAATGATTATGGATTCAAAAATGTATACTCAAAATTATTAATGACAAACAATTCTGCTTAATGAAAAAAAAAAGCAAAAACTATCGAGAGGTGCCTAAAATTCCTTATTATTCTTAAAGGAATAGTTTACGCAAAAAAAAAAAAAAATGTCACCCTCAGGCCATCCAAGATGTAGATGGGTTCGGTTCTTCACCAGAACAGATTTGGAGAAATTTAGCATTACTTCTCTTGCTCGTCAATGGATCCTCTGCAGTGAACGGGTGCCGTCAGAATGAGAGTCCAAACAGCTGATAAAAACATCACAATCATCCACAAGTAATCCACATGTCTCCAGTCCATCAGTTAACATCCTGTGAAGTGAAAAGCTGCATGTTTGTAAGAAACAAATCCATCATTAAGCTGTTTTAACTTTAAACCGTCACTTCTGGCCAAAAAAAACAGGGGAAAAGTCTATAATTGTTTAGAACTGTTTTTGCTTGCAAACAGTGCTTGATCTGTGCATATTTCTGATTCAGATGAGACGACTTTTTCACTGGAGAAAGCAATATTATGGATAGAGGACTGGTCTTTGGTTTGAAGTAAAAAAAAAATTAAAAAAAAATAAAAAAAAGGCTTGATGGATTCGTTTATTACACACTCGCAGCTTTTCACTTCATAAAACATTAATTAATGGACCGGAGTCATGTGGAGTATTTTTATTATTATTATGTATTTATCAGCTGTTTGAACACTCATTCTGACGGCACCCATTCACTGCTGAGGATCCATTGGTGAGCAAGTGGTGTAGTAATCTGTTCTGATGGTCAAACAAACTCTTCTACATCTTGGATGCCATAAGTGTGGGTACATTTTCAGCAAATTTTCATTTTTGGGTGAACTACTCCTTTTAAAAAAAAAATGTGTATTCATAAGCAGCATATTCAGTAGTTGTTCATTTTTATTGTAAAACTTTCACTATAACATGAACATATTAATCTGTACAAACTTTAGTGCTTAAGTGTAAATATATTTGAAACACTCTTTTACCAGCACAACCGAGCAGTTGAAATATTACTGTCTTCATAGTTTCATGGGGTTCTGGCAGTAGGAGAGCAATGCCACAGCAGTGAATCTGTCAGCTCCTGGTGTTTAATTGATCAGGGATTCTGTCAAGGTCGAGGTGCGGTGATTCGGCTGTGCATCCTTTGGTCTGAGCCGTTTGATGCATCGCTGCTGCGTGATATGTTTCAGCTGAGGACTCTGAACTGTTATTTAAGAATGGAATGGCCATGCAGGTTCACTGAGCGCATTCTGACCTCAGATGTCTCTAAGGTTTAGAAATGGATTTTTCCATTTACTCAGATATTTGAGAAAAAGAAATGGGCAGTAGCTGCAGAATCACAGATAATGTTATTACAGCGTTTGCAAGGCAGCACCATATTATTCCACAACTATTCTTGTTTTCTTCTTCCTCTTCATCTTTTTTCTGCAATTAATTTCTTGAAGAGATTATTTACTCAAAACATATGATGTTAACTTATGTTATGATGTTAATATCATGTTCCAAACCTGTATGCTAGTTAGTTAAATGAGATATATTTTTTATATTTCTTTTACATAGAAAAAAGCGTTCTTACTAATTTGTATTGCGTGTAGTTTAAGGGACATGGTCACTGAGCTATAGTTGTATTTTTGTTATTTTTAGATGATTTATTTCTTTTATTAGCAGCCTCCATTATGTTAAGTATTTGTAGCTGTTATTAAATTTATATTTTTAATAAATTTAAGATAAAACCGTTAAAAATCTCCTGCTGACCTGGGTTGATTATATAAAATTGAACCGCTAGTAAAGTTGTAAACATTATTTGCATAGGTACTTTTTTTTTGATTGGTTCTCTTTCTTGTATTTATTTGCATACTAAATAGTATTTGTTGTCTTCCGTTGTAGTTATTGCATCTACACTACTGTTCAAACGATTGGGGTCAGTAAGAAAGAAATTGATACTTTGATTCAGCAAGGAGGGCACATTACAAATGATCAACAGTGACAGACAAGACATTTATAAATAAATTGTATAAAAACCATTTTCAACATTGATAATATAAAGAAATGTTAATCCACTTTTAACACCCTGAAGTGTCTATGATTTCCTCTCATACTTATTCTAAAGCAGCTTTCCAGAATCCCTGTTTAGAGATGTAAGACAGACATAATAGTCCTATCAATATAAATAGTAGTAGATTATCCAATAAATCACCATGAACATCAGAATGATTTTCTCCAGTGGTCCAGCTTAATCTCTGTTTATGGAACACATTTAGTAATGGAGGAAATATGCAATCACTCATGAGAGGCGTAACATCATATCTCACACCTGCAGTGTATCAGTCGTTGGCTGAGTGTGATCTATGAGCATCTCTTTGATCCCTCACACAGGCCTGTCAGAGGGGGGCTGCGCCGCACCTTTAATACCTTCCTGACCTGTTTTTTTTTTTTTTTCTACTGCATATTTCCAGCTTTTGTAAGAACGCCCTCTGTTTGCTGTGATTATATAGCTAGTCTAGCTAGTCGGATCACTATAACAATGGTCTTTTGGACCCCACTGAATCTGCATTCTGATTAATTTTGCTTGTCTGCGTTGTCTTTTGGGATTTTGAGTTAATTTCCAGTCACAGCATGCAAAACTACTTTGGACCTTGCAACGAATATCGGCAGCATTGTGACCAAAAATTTATAGCAGCCATTACTCCAGTCTTCAGTGTCACATGATCCTTCATAAATCATTCTAATATGCTGATTTGCTGCTCAAGGAATTCTTCTTATCAATGTGGACAAAAATTTGATTTTTATTTTATTTTTTTTATTATTTGATGTCACCTTTATTTCTATAGTGCTTTATACAAGACATTGTGGCAAAGCAGCTTTACAGAGATACAGAAAAATAAATGAAAAAACTTCAAAACAACAACATTTATGTAAAACAGAAATGGTTGAACAACTTAATTCATCCTTGTTGAATAAAAGTTTTAATTAAAAAAAACTTTGAACAGTGGTGTATGAACGTTTGAACTAGATGTTAATAAAATAAAATAAAATCTTACCTGTGGCTGCGTACGTTTAAGCATGACTTTTTTTTATTTTAAGTTAACATGAACTTTTTAGAAATTTCCACCTCTGGCATTTTTAGATTGAGTGGTTTTCCAAGAACCTGATAAAGCTGTTTGCCTTCTTTTGGGATATCTGTAATGAAACGTTCCAGAGCGCTTTCATATTATAAAACCACGAGATTAAAGATGGTCTTTAAACATTTTAGACTAAATTTATGTTTCATATTAGTCTCCCAAAGAGGAGATGCTTGTGTTTTTGATGGAAACATACGTGCTACATTGTCCGCAGGTTTTCAGTCTGATTCCAGCCAAACATTTTGGAGAATCTATGAGAGTTTCCGCCGCTTCTAGGTGAATGATTTGATGCCTCCAGCTACAACATGTGCTTCCCATTTAACTCAGAATACTTGCGTTGCCACATGAAAATGCTGTTACCGAACTATTCAGTTTGCTTTCTCAGTCTGCTCTGACTCTGATAGTTTTGATGGTTGTTCTCACTTTATCGTAATCACCCTAATGAGTTGTCATGTAGGGGACACATGTACTGCTCTGATCACACCATGCTTCTCAAATCCCCCAGGGAGAAGATGATTATTGTCTTTAAATGAGCAGCCCGTTGAGAACGCAGCCCCCAGTTGGTTTCATAATAACTGATTTTATGATGTGTATTTTGTTTAACTAGATGAGTCCATGTCAGTCATGCTCTGTGATAATGATGAGTCACATCAGCTAAATATATTGAAGAGATTAAGACAATGATGCTGTCTTACACTCATCTTTTTTTATTACAGAATCAGGTTGAGTTGTGCAGTGGCGACAATGGAAAAAGTTGTAGACTTTTGGCCATGTTATTTTGTGTAACGACAAGTTTTCAAATTTTGCGCTTCCTGATGTTTTGTTTTTTTTCAGAAGTTGTTTCAAATTTTTTGAGGTTAATTTATCTAAAGAGCAAGGTAGCTAATGTTTTATATAATGCTATTATCGTTCAAATTAATACTTTTATTCAGCAAGGATGTATTCAGTTGATCAAAAGTCACAATAAAGACATTTTAAATATTACAAAAGATTTCTATTTCAAAGAAATGCTGTTCTTTTGAACGTTATATTGAAGAATCCTGTTTTGTGCCACGTGCACCATTTGTTTCTAATCCTACACAGTTTGTGAACAAGCTGTGAAGTTTCAGAGCACATAAAAATACGGTGTGTTGTACATCAGTGACTGTTTGTTATTCCATTCCTGTGCGTGCTGCTTAGGCGATGCTGTCGTGATTTAGGGTCTCAAACACTGCTAAATCATCAAACGTGGTGTTGGTGCTTCACTATGGCAACAGTGCTTTAGGGAGAGGCTTAAGTTCTGATGCTGTGCATATGGTTCACCACAATGAACTTTGTCCACTCTTTTTCTTTTTTCACACAATAGGAGAATTTTGCCATCTTCACATAAAATAATTTTCCTAACATGACAATCTATAGTAACCTGTCATTTTTAAAACATCACAGTTTCCACTGAGATATTAAGCAGCACAACTGTTTTCAACATTGATAATAATAAGAAATGTTTATTCAGCACCATCATATTAGAATGAAAGATCATGTGACACTGAAGACTGACGTAATGGCTGCGGAAAATTCAGCTTTGCCATCTTTACATTTTAAAATATATTAAAATAGAAAACTATTACTTTAAATTGTAATGATATTTCACAATATTAATATGTTACTGTGTTTTTGATCAAATAAATGCAGCCTTTGTGAGCATTAGAGACTTTTTTCAAAAACATTAAAAAATCGAGCAAACCCCTAACTTTTGAATGGCAGTGTATATCTATGTCTCAAAGAAAGCTATAGGATGTCTTTAGAAGACTTGTAATATAGCATATAAGTTATATGGATTTGAAACATGAGGATGAATAATGAGTTTTCATTTTTGGGCGAACTGTTCCTGTAGTGTCTTACAGTGGATGGGTGTGGAGACTTGAACCCTCATTCTACGGCTCTCTCCATCTGGTCTGTGAACATTGTACCCAATTATTGATCTGTACTGTTTTCTCTCTCTCTGCAGGGCGTGGGTCTTTCAGTTCATGGACGGTTTCGTGTGGCCACTGAGAAGACACTGTTTGCCATGCCTGAGACGGGCATTGGTAAGAGGCAGCCTGTGTTCCTCTCTCTCCCTGAGGGCTGTAACTGGGTTATACTCTGAGTTTTCATTAATAATGCAAGATGGCTTTGGTTTCACAGGAATCAATAGTACTTTATCCAAAAATATGGATGTGAAAAGTAAATGTAAAGCATACCATTTGCCAAAAAAGAAAGTGTAGTTTTGGCACATACATTTAAAGGAATAGTTTACCCAATATTTGCTGAAAATTTACTCACCCTCAGGCCATCCAAGATGTAGATGAGTTTGTTTCTACATCCAAAGAGATTTGGAGAAATTTAGCATTGAATGGGTGCACTCTGCAGTGAATGGGTGCCGCCAGAATGAGTGTTGAAACAGCTGATAAAAACATCACAGAGTAACAATCTATTTTTTTCTGTGGTCCACTTATAAGTAAGGTTTTTTTTTCACAAATATTACTTTGCATCTTGACTGTTAGATATGTCCAGTCTTTTAACTCATTACCAGCCAAAGTACAAGCAGATCAGTGTGAGATGACACAGCACACATTTTTGTAGCTAAAAAAAACCCTGTGTGTTCTGTTTTCTTCTCAAATCATTGCCTAGCCCAAAGACCTCTCCAAAGCAATCTTTCACAGCAGATTGTTCAGGTCAGTTTTATGTGGAAACAGTGTTGAGGGATGGTGCGGATTGAAGCACCTGTCTGATGCTTGTGGTCTCTGAATAAGCGGCATGCTAAAACGCTCCACAGACAGCGTCAATCTCCCTTTTGCTCATGGAAGGAATTCTGTCGATGCGGACAGCATCCGATCAATCTGCTGCTGATATGTAAGTGGGTGGGTCTTGTTCCAACCGTGGAGCCAACCGATGATTCTTGCACTGCAGTTTGCAGATTTAATTTCGTAACCTCTCATCTGATCTAGGTGGATGGCTCAGTTCATAGTGACATTAATTGTGTTAGAGAACAAAGTATAAAAACAGAGTACAAGCACAAATTGGCAAATTTGTAAAGTTGTAAATAGAAAAAAAAAAAAAAGATTTTTTTTTTTCAAAATGAAGACGAGAAGTTTTCACACTTTCAGCACTACAATTCACATTCAGACCATTGTTATTGCAGAAAATTCTTGCAGATGCAACTTGCTTTGGTAATGCGTTGTCTAATGCAATTATATTTTACATTTTTTTTAAGCATGACCGAACATTTGGGATCTGTAAGATTTTGACATGTTTTTGAACATTTATGCTCACCAAAGCTGCATTTATTTGATCAAAACTACAGTAACATTTGTAATATTGTGAAATATTATAACAATTTAAAAACAACAGTTTTCTGTTTTGATATTGGTTAAAAAGGAAAATAGAAAAGCTGAATTTTCAGCAGCCATCAGTCTTCAGTGTCACATGATCATTAAGAAATTATTCTAATATGCTGATTTAATGCTTTTTAATAAGAAACATTTCATATTATTATGAATGTTGAAAACAATTACTTTGCGTAATATTTTTGTGAAAACAGTGATACATTTTCTCTACGATCCTTTGACAAATAGAAAGTTCAAAAGAACACTTTTTATTTGAAATAAAAATCTTTTGCAACTTTTAATTGTTTTTTACTTTCAAGTATTAATTTCCTAAAATCAGTTAACAGTTATACCACTGCTGATGTTTTAAGAGAAACTGAGCTTGTCATAAACTTTCAATTCTGTCATCACTTACTCACCCTGAAAATACGTGGTTAGACATGAAGGTGAGAAAATGAAGACAAAATGTTCATTTTTGGATCCAAAGTGAATGTTTCCACATTCATCTTTCATAACCATCCTCTCAGAATACATCCATGTGTGCTGCATCTCGCTTTTATTGCACATGCTTTAAATTTTTCGTGCTTCTTTTCATTCCACGTCCTAATCACACCCTGTGAATGGTATGTCTGGAGCCTTGATGCGGTATAAATCAGAATACTTTGCCCTTGTCCCTATCACATGCTTCTACACATGTAGGCAGAAGTCTGCCTCGGCTATTGTAATTCATTCTGGACTCTTAATGAGAGGGCTTTACAGCATTTCCTCCTGTTGTACAGCGTCCTTCAGCTCTTGCAAGCCTTGGGTAAAGACTCCCTGCGGAACTGTTAGAGTGGCAGGAAGTAGTGCTAATCACAGTCTGTGACACATCTGTTGAGCGTCTGTGCACGTGCGTGCGTGTATGTGTGTGTGTATTTGATTGAGTGCATGCACAGTGTCTGTGTGCCATCACCCACTAATCCCATTAAGAGCCTGTGTCTCTCAACCCCAGATGAATGAATAATCCTCTTTGGGTTTGCACTTGTCTTAATGGTTTATTCTGCGGTAAGGTGGCCAGACTTATGAGTCTCGTAGCCGGGTACTTCCTTATAGTTCTTCTTTCTTGACATGAGGTGGTTAAACAAGTACTACATCATCATGTGCGCATGGAATTTGTGTGGCTCTTCAAAAATCTGCCTATTACATTTTATATCATATTATTTATTGCAAATGAGACTTCAGTCATATAAGCAGCATAATTTAGGAAATCTGCATAAATAATTATTATTTTAAACAGGTTTACCCAACAGGTTTCAGTAGTGTATGCCAATTTGCTATTTGGACAAACACATCCCAGACATCCCACCCCAGACTCACACTGTTGGTAGATCCAGGGTTTCAATCTAGAATTAAAAGAATTATTTTTATTATTTTTTTTACTTTTACATAAATTAGTACTATTAAAAATATATTTAGGATGAATAACATTCCAGATGAGTGAAGATACTCTTTTGAAAAACATATTTATCTGTTTGTTTTGTTTTTCAGATGAGACTCTAGCAGTGTTATCTTAGTATTATTGATATACTAGTTTTTGTAAATGTATTGAATTTTATGTTTTGATTTTAGTTTTAGTAATTTTGTTGTGTTTTGCCATTTTTATTAGTTGTAGTTTTATTTCAATTAGTTTTGTATTAATTTTAGTTTATTTAGTTTTAGCTCTTTAGTACTTCTTTTAGTACTACTTAAAACTAAAATAAGAAATGTTGCCTCGGCAATACATTTTTAATAATTTTGATCATATACATTTTATTTTATTGTAGTTATTTTGTTTCAAGTACCAAAAATGTTTTTTATGGTTTTAGTTTTAGCTAACAATAACAACCCTGAACTTGGCAGCATAATAAACGTTTCTATGAAATCTGCATAAAACATGATGATTAACAAATGTTTAGAACAGGTTTTAAACATGTTTGTCCTATTGGCAGCATTGACTGAAAAAACACCCAAGCTCACACCATTGTTTGAGCCGCTGTTACTATGTAGGGTCTCTCAAACAAACAATGTTTCAATAGTGTTTACACTTTTCTGGGAAAGAAGTGGTACTGGGACTCTTGTGCAGTTTAAAGAACTGATTTTTTATGTATGCTTTAACTGCTCCAAGCTAAGTGGGATTCTGGAAGGAAAGCACCACGAGCAGCATGGTAGCAGTAGCCTTGAGCCATTTGTGCTGAGCTGTGGTATTCGCCCATGGTGGCACCTTCTCTGACAATGTGCCAGCCATCTGTGCGCCGAAAATGCCCCCCCGCCCTCGCCTGCAACCTGGTTCCACCCCTTCACCCCCTTCTGCTGATAGATTATTTGCTATTTGAGTCTTACAACTATGCCGGCCATGAGACAAAGCCACTGGTTGAATGGCAAACGTAATCTGCATTTATGATATTACATTTGCCTCCTGGAATGAGGTCAGGGACCTAATCCTGTCCTGCTTTATTCAGAATTGTACCTCCTGCTGAGTGTGTGTGAGGGGAGTGGTTATTTTTCTCAGCCCTTGCTACTAAAAAAAAGCACATCAGGTTAATAATATTGTTGCGCCACACTATGCCATTTCAAAACCACATCCTGCAGACTGAACAATGCATTTGATAACTGTTTATACTAGAGTTTTACAAACTAGGGGCCATGGACCTCTTGCAGGTGCCTGTAATTAAATAGTGTAAAAAAAATATTTGTAGAATAATTCTTCAGTATTTGAAGAATTTCACTTTTGACTTAAATTTATAATTTGACTTACTATTATAATAATTGCATTCAGTTTTTAAAGACATGAGTGGATTATCATGATTATTTTATTATTTCTAATTATGTTTCTCAGGTTTATACTTCTAATATAACTCCAGTGGTGGGAGTTAATTCTTAATATAATATGTTATTATCTTTTGGCTTTAGTAATGGCAATATAACATCCAATTACTTGATTTTGGAAACAAAAATCTAAAGTTTTCTTTATAATATCATGTCTGCTACTTTTCCTACATAGCATAAATGGTCTGTACATGGAAATATACAGCTCCCTCAATACTTTCGGAAGAGTGTCCCTTGAGATATTAATATTTGTTGGGTCATTGGCATAAAAAAAAGTAATGCCCCTGCTTTATGTGACAGTGAAATAGCTCATATAATCAAGGTCTTTTATTCAAGTATTTCCTCAGTCTCAGTTTTAATATTACTTATGAAATCACTTGAGCAATTATAATAATTCCCTAAAAAGCTGATTTATACTCCTGTGGCCAGAAAATAATCTTTTTTTCTTGTGTAAAGAGCACTGGAAGTCATGTCTCATTGGTCCTGTACAATCTTAAATTGAAGAACGACAGCACAGCATAAGCACGCAGCAGATTTAGAGTGTCACTATGTGGCTTAAACAGTGAATAAATCTTATTAAGAGAGGCAAGAACCGATCGTTATGGATTGAAATACATCGCCAAACTGTTTGTTCAGTGACCTTGAGTTCGTAATTATTATTTTTTTGCATTCATTTTCTCAATAAGGATTTTTAAAAATCCTTCAATAAAGAAGCCTTGAACCAAACCGCCCAACTCTGAATTACAGTACATTTGATTCAGTGCAAAACAGTGTTTGAAACTATGAAAGAGAACAGACTTTAATCAAAGTAAATAAACTAGTCATCCCATGAAGCACTGCAATCAATTCATTAATATAAGATATATAAAACATATGGTGGATATTTTTCAGTGGAGAAAAGGATTGGGAATTTTGTGTCCAGATTTTTACTTTATGTCATGCTCTAAATGGCTTTTGTTTTGTGTGTTTGTTTCTATAGGTTTGTTCCCTGATGTTGGTGGTGGCTACTTCCTGCCTAGACTTCAAGGCAAACTAGGCCTCTTTCTTGCCCTGACCGGGTTCCGCCTCAAAGGGAGAGATGTTCAGAGGATCGGGTTGGCTACTCACTTTGTGCAGTCTGACAAGGTAATGTATATAGAGACTGACCAATATACTGGCAAGTTTATCAGGTAATATTTGGCCATTTTGAGGTTACAAAGATATTCGATTGGCCAAATAAATAGCAATCCCTTGCGTCGGTTTGTCGTAGTCTGCTGATGGGTCTTGTGAATAGATATTGCACATTTTTCTCTTGTCACAGATTTTTGTGAAATATTGTAAAATATTGTTTTCATTTTTAGCTTTCATTAATTGTATATAAAATATTTTATATTTTACAAATAAAATATATAAATATTAAATAAACTTAACTTATAGTTCATTTATATTTTTATATAATTTATAGCATTATAACACATTATACACACATATTGGATATATTGGATGTGATTGTTTCATGTTATCCAATGTTTTCACATCCAGCTCCTGGTTAGAACAGTGCTAAGAAGAAGCTATTATGATTGTAGAACAGTTTTAAGACAGTTTAAAAAAAGATGAAACTCAAGTTCAAGGTAACGATGACTGGAAGGGAACTGTGCTGGTGCTGGCCTCCTGGGATTTTGGGCTGCAGTTCTTGCATTTGATGCTGAAATGAGAGAAGTTACTGAAAGGAGAGGACTTAGTCAGCATTTCTCAGGCTTGCCAGTGAGCGTTCGGCAGCAGGGGGCGACCGAGCCCTGACACTACGCCCAGTTCATGTGCCAGAGGTGAAAATGAGGACCAGGGCTTGGCACTGCTGGAGAGAGGGGCATACAAGCCTACGCACACACACACACATCCTCTGGCCAAGGACAGACGACCAGCAGGATCTGGCGTACACGCTACACACAGAAGTGACCTGTGATAAAAATAACCAAAAAAGGGCTCTGAGGACAGGGCGTCAGTTTGTACCGCAGAACTAGTTTCAAACTCAATTTGTTTTATGAGCAATGTAAAACAACCCTGACAATTATATATTGAGTCAGCCTGTATTATCATTCATTATCACCACGAGCAGCACAGGGTCAGGGAATTTTAAAATTGTGATTTTCAGGCCTGGAAAGCTGTATAAATTAAGAGCAATTAAAAAATAATGGAAAAACGTGCGTTTTTATAGTGAATATACATTTTCTAGTCCTCTAAAATATTTAATTAACTAGATGTTGTTCCCAATCTCTGTAAAAAAAAAATATATATATATATATATATA